GATAGGATGGAGGAAAAGACTGGGTTTTACACAGCCAAAACAGAACCACTAAACCAGGGGTCCTCAAACTATGGCCTGGGGGCACGCAACAACAACAACAAAAACAATCCTATCTCATCAGCCAAAAGGAGGCCCACACTTCCCATTGAAATACTAATAAGTTTCTATTTGTTAAAATTGTTCTTCATTTTAATTATTATATTGTTTTTAAGTGTTTAAGTGCACTACAAATAAGATATGTGCAATGTGCATAGGAATTCATTCATGTTTTTTTCAAATTATAATCCGGCCCTCCAATAGTTTGAGGGACTATGACTTGGCCCTCTGTTTAAAAGGTTTGAGGGCCCCTGCACCAAACAAACCCAAAGTGGGGTAAATACACACCCTAGGTCAGTGTTTCTCAACTTGGGGGTCGGGACCCCTGAGGGGGTCGCGAAGGGGTGTCAGAGGGGTCGCCAAAGACCATCAGAAAACACAGGATTTTCTGATGGTCATGGGGATTCCATGTGGGAAGTTTGAGCCAATTCTATCGTTGGTGTTCAGAATGTTCTTTGATTGTAATGAACTATAAATCCCAGCAACTACAACTCCCAAAAGTCAAGGTCTATTTTCCCCAGGCTCCACCAGTGTTCACATTTGCACATATTGAGTATTTGTGCCAAGTTTGGTCCAGATCCACCACTGCGTGAGTCCAGAGTGCTTTCTGGATGTAGGTGAACTACAACTCCCAAACTCAAGGTCAATACCCACCAAACCCTTCCAGTGTTTTCCATTGGTCATGGGAGTTCTGTGTGGCAAATTAGGTTCAAATCCATTGCTGGTGGAGTTCAGAATGCTCTTTGATTATAGGTGAACTATAAATCCCAGCAACTACAACTCACAAATTACAAAATCAATCCTCGCTCAACCCCACTAGCATTTACATGTGGGTGCATTGGGTATTTGTGCCCAGTTTGGTCCAGTGAATTAAAATACATCTTGCATATCTGATATTTACATTATGATTTATAACAGTAGTAAAATGACTGTTATGAAGGAGCAACAAAAACAATGTTATGGTTGGGGGTCACCACAACATGAGGGACTGGATTAAGGGGTCACGGCATTAGGAAGGTTGAGAACCACAGCCCTAGGTTGTTGTTGTTAGTCCTTTAATAATGTTTTATCTCTTGTTTTAATGATGTTGTATCCTGCCTCGAGCTGCAGGGAGAGGCAGGTAATAAATTTGTTGTTGTTGTTGCTGTTGTTACATGGCTGGCTTTAATTTAGCACTCAAGATGGACACCTGTTTTACATACTTTGGATGTGTTTGCTTGGATATATGCTAGCCAAGTATGATGGGAGTTGTTGTCCATCACATCTGGAGGGCAACATGGGATGGGAGTGGCTGAGAGAGTAGCCTTGAGAGCCAAGAAAATATGGAGCTGAGGGCCTGAATTTCTGGAATGTGTGGCAATGATGGGAAATGGCTGGATGTTTTTCACTGGAAGAAGGAAAGGAAAAAGTCTCAGGTCTTAGGCTAGCTCTTAATCCTTTTACACCCAGGAGTGTAATGACACCTTCAAAGAGAGGTTGTAAACTTTGTCTAGCCAACTAGGCCAACAAGTCAAATTCCTTGCGCAAAAAGAGCTTGTAAGAAACTTCAGAGGTTTAAGGCGCTCTCTGCTGGCTAGTTAAGAGTTTGCAAAGAGTTTTAAAGTTTCAGTCAAGTCCCAAATACTGTGCAATGAAGGCACCAGATCTCTGATTTTGGAAGCTAAGCAGTGTCACTCCTTCCTAGTGTTTGGATGGGAGCGTGTTTCAGAGGAAGGCAATGAGAAGCCACCTCTAAGTACTCATTGTCTAAGGAGGCCTTATGATATTCTTCTTCTTCTTAAGTGATCCCTCATTGTCCGAGTAGGATTGTCTTCTAAGCTCGATGTACTGGCGGTGGGTCCACAGGTGACTGTGGAGCCCTATTCTTGACCTGCATCTTCTCCTGCAGTGAGGGCATTGGTTTCCAGGTGGAAGGCGGTCCCAGTCGGGGTTGGCTTGATGCGCCTTCCTCTTGGCACATTTTTCTCTTTCACCCTCCATTCGTGCCTCTTCAAATTCTACAGCACTGCTGGTCACAGCTGACCTCCAGCTGGAGCGTTCAAGGGCCAGGGCTTCTCAGTTCTCAGTGTCTATGCCGGAGTTTTTAAGGTTGGCTTTGAGCCCATCTTTCAATCTCTTTTCCTGCCCACCAACATTCTGTTTTCCGTTCTTGAGCTCGGAGTAGAGCAGCTGCTTTGGGAGACGGTGGTCGGGCATCCGAACCACGTGGCCAGTCCAGCGGAGTTGATGGCGGAGGACCATCGCTTCAGTGCTGGTGTTCTTTGCTTCTTCCAGCACACAGACATTTGTCCGCTTGTCTTCCCAAGAGATCTGCAGGATTTTTTGAAGGCAACACTGATGGAATTGTTCTAGGAGTTGATGTGATGTCTGTAGACAGTCCATGTTTTGCAGGCGTATAGCAGGGTTGGGAGGACAATAGCTTTATAAAAAAGCAGCTTGGCATCCCTATGGATGTCCTGGTCCTCAAACACTCTCTGCTTCATTTGGAAAAATGCTGCACTCACAGAGCACAGGCAGTGTTATATTTCAGTGTCAATGTTGACGTCTGTAGGCAGTCCACGTTTTGCAGGTGTATAGCAGGGTTGGGAGGACAATAGCTTTATAAACAAGCACCTTGGTATCCCTATGGATGTCCTGGTCCTCAAACACTCTCTGCTTCATTCTGGAAAAATGCTGCACTCGCAGAGCTCAGGCGGTGTTGAATTTCAGTGTCAATGTTGACTTTTGTGGAGAGGTGGCTGCCAAGGCAGCGGAAATGGTCAACATTTCTAATATGGTATCCATACATTGACAGGGGGCTTGAAGGCACTTGGACCTACAACGATCACTCAGCACCATTTTATTTATGAGCAATAGGAGCTACTTCTTAGCAAGTGCACTTAGGTCTATAAGCTGAATGGTAATGCATACATAAGAGAGGAGACATTGCTTCCTTCTACTCCAGGCAATTGAATAATTGACTAATCACTAGAGAAGACATTGAGCCAAAACCAAATATGTACTTTTGAACCACATTAATGAAAGATCAGTTGAAGAATGAAGCATGTGCTGAATTCTCCTCATTTGAGATAAGTTGGGCTTGATGAATTGGCTATGGGTGCTCGACCCGACGCCTGGAAATACCTATAACCACAGCTCCGTGCAATAGTCCAGAATATGTAAACAGTTTATTTTAAAAACACATAAAATATATGAAAAAATCAGGAATAAAGAAAGATGAAGTATAATCCAAAAAAGGTTTAGCAATAGGTGATAAGCAAACAGGAATTCAAATGTCTCATACAGATCCAAAGGTAGCTCAGTCAAGGGATAGCTAAAAATCACAATTACAGCATAAATCCTCAAGCAAAAGGTATACTTAATAAAACTTGAGCAGGAATATGAAACAAGAACATAAAAAACTTCCAGGATACATAAATCCAAAACCAAGGCTTGACTTGAAACCAGAACCAGAGAACTCAAGCCGAGCTTCTCACTCAAACGCTATGTTGCCTGAACTAACTCTTTGGTAAACAACTTGCTATTTAATAGACACCCATGAAATCATTCCTTTTCCCTTGAATTCTCCACACTACTTGCCCATGCAATAAGTCTCGCCTATTTTCTGCTCTGATTTGTAAACGAAGACTTTTGTTGATCTCCGTAGCTCCAGGTATTTTTCCCTGAGAGCCTTCCATATCACTTAGCTCTTTGCCCAACCCCTTATTTACTGTTACAGTTTCTGGCTAAGTTGACAGGTGACTTCAAGACACATAGACACACTAGGCGCTGACTATGAATGGGCAACTTTCAGACCTACACTGTCCTGTCATAGGTTTTATTTATTTACAGTATTTATGTTCCACCCTTCTCACTCTGCAGGGGACTCAGGGTGGATTACAACGTACATATACATGACAAACGTTCAATGCCATAGACACACAACATATATAGACAGACACTCAGAGGCTATTTAACATTCCAGCTTTTCATGAGGGTATTCTGGCCACCAGGAGAGCTGTTGCTTCACTGTCCATTTGTGACACCGATGAAGTACTTCCTCATTTTTGCATGCTTGCTGGAGATTATTATGGCCTCATAAATTAGTTAAATTAGCCTCCCCAAATAAGTGGTACCTACATTTCCTACTTGACAGATCCAACTGTCTGATGCAACGTATTCTCTCCTATGGATCATGAAGATTATTAAGATCGTCTGGAGAGGCCCTGCTCTCGGTCCCACCGGCCTCACAAGCACGTCTGGTGGGGACGAGGGACAGGGCCTTCTTGGTGGTGGCCCCGCGACTCTGGAACTCTCTCCCACTGGAGATCAGAACCGCCCCTTCTATCCTGACATTTAGGAAACAGGTGAAGACGTGGTTATGGAGACAGGCTTTGGATGAATGAGACAACACCCTAAGATTTGGATGGAAGATGATGTATAATCGATTTTAGTATGACGACTGACCACTGTAGTTTTAAATATATTTGTTGTTTTAATATGTTATTGTAATATGAACTATGACGTTTTACCGATTGTATGTGTTTTTATGGTTGGAAACCGGTCTGAGTCCCTCAAAGAGGTGAGAAGGTCGGTATATAAAACTTTGGAATAAATAAATAAATGTCTTTTGGGCTGCAAAGGTCAACAGCAAGCTACACAAATTGGTCGGAAGCTCACTCCGACTTGGGCTGGCTTCGAACTCATGACCTTTTGGTCAGTAGGGATCTTAATGCAGCTGACTCCCAGCCAGCTGCGCCACAGTCCCGCTGCAGTTTCCTGTGTCACTAATTTGTGTAAACATGCCACAACTCTGAAATGTGTTTATCCAATGTGCATTGAGATGGGGCCCTGGTGGGCTGTGATGTCAAAGAGAAGTGCCTTAAATAAAGAAATAAGCCTCATTTTCCTCCTTTCATCGACAGAGTCTCCTTCTGGCCTCTCCTGCAAGTGATGCTCATCCCTCTGGTTGTGATGCTGCTGCAGACGGGCAGCAGCCACTGCGGCCTCCCTTTCTACAATGGCTTCTATTATGACCGAGTGATGAATGACAAAGGCAATGGCAATGGAGAAGGTAAGTGGTAGTTACTGGTAGGTGTTCTGTGCTAGGACTGGCTGTTTGACGCACTCCGACCTGAATTGCAAGCGCGATTGGTGGGGACGAGAGAGCCTTCTCTGTGGTGGCCCCTCGACTCTGGAACTCACTCCCTAAGGACATCAGGCATGCCCCAACTTTGGCAGTCTTTAGGAGGAGCTTGAAAACGTGGTTGTTCCAGTGTGCCTTCCCAGAATAAGGAACCCTTAGCATTATGGCCTCTAAAAACACTTTATACTGATTTAGGACTGCTTGTACGTTTCCACCAACGCCCTACCTTCTCTGTCTTGTTCATGCCCAGCATTATTATTTTTAACTTTAATTACATTTGGCCCAGCCCTAGATTTTAAATGTGTTTTGTGCCATTGTTCAATGTTTATGCTATTTACGTATGAGTTTTATTTTTAATTGCTTTGTATTAGTATTTGTATTTTGCTTTGTATTGTGGTTGCTTGTATTGATGTATTGTGGGCTCGGCCTCATGTAAGCCGCACCGAGTCACTTGGGAGATGGTAGCGGGGTATAAATAAAGTATTATTATTATTATTATTATTATTATTATTATTATTATTGGTGTAAACTGGCACATGTTCCTGCTATAGCAAACTGTGGCCCTCCAGGTGTTTTGGACTCCAACTCCCACAATTCCTAACAGCCTCAGGCCCTTTCCATTTCCTTATTAGAGTGTCAGCCACTTTAGCGTGACACTCAAAGAATTCTACAGTGTTGATGCACCTTTCAACACTTCATTCTTGTGCATGCTCAAGCCTGCCTTCACAACAATCCAGGCAGGAAACACACCTTTTACTTTTAACAGAGAAAGCTTTGAGATTTTTGGAAAGCTGTGTTCTATCCACAGTGTCATTTATTTATTTATTTTTTGCTTTCAAAGAGATTCTTCTCAATTTGCTGTGGTATAGTTTATTACTTGCGGCTCGAAGTATATACTCCAGTATAAGCTGAGTTTTCCAGCCTTTTTAAGGCTGAAAAAGCTCCCCCTTAGCTTATACTCAAGTCAAAATAATGTATTATTTTACTCTGTTATCATTATTATTTTTATTAGACTTGTTTTACTCTATTTATTATTATTATTACATTTACATTATTTTACTCTATTATTGCCTTTATTATTTTACTCTATTATTATTACATTTATTACTTTATTCTATTAATATTACATTTACATTATTTTACTATATTTATTATTTTTTTATTTCATTTATTATTTTACTCTATTATTGTTATCATTATATTTACATTATTACATTTATTTATTTACTTACTGTATTTGTATACTGCCTTTCTCAGCCAATTGGCAACTCAAGGTGGTTTCCAGCAAATCAGTATACATTAGGCCTGGGTAACAACGGAAAAATTTGTTTCTAAAATCGATTTGTATTTGGGGTGTTTTTTTGTTTCGATATTTAAAATAATTACAAAATTTTCCTTTTAAAAAGTTCGATATTTACGAAATTTCGTAAATGGTAAAAAATTAACGATTCGTTAATGGCGGACGCGACCGCGAAATACGCTAAAAAACCTCTAAAACCTTCTGAAGCTTCCCTCTCCCTCTGTTGTTGACTGTTGTTGTGATATTATATTTTTTTTCACTAATTAAACCATAAAACTGGCCCAGACATGCGGAAATAATAACGAAACGACCTCAAAACAATAACGAAACGAATACAATATCGAAATACGAAGCATTTACAAAACGTTTTTGAAAATTCGTTTTTTTTAATAATTGCTCCAGAATGGTTCGTTATCGTTTTGTAATTGAAAAAATTAACGAATTATTAACGAATTACGAATTAACGAAACGAAACCGCCCAGCCCTATTAAAAACACAATACAGATTAAAACATTAAACAGTATAAAACTCCACAAAAGCAATAAAAATAACATCATTAGTGTCTCATTATTATCAAGCATTGTACAGTTCCACTGTCAAATCATACTACTTCTTACATACTTCTAGTGTACATACTTATTGTACACTAGACTCTTGTTCAGGGAATCTACTATATTGATCACATAAAATCAAGCTTGCAAAACTGTTTGTTCTGTGTTAATAACTTAAGCACTGCCCGTCTTTAGATTTAGTAGTGAGACTTTTAACAAATGCATTCACCAGCACTGATCATCGCTTTGTCCCCTTGTTTTAAAAAACGACAGAGTTAAGATACATATACACATTTTGTAATGTTTCATGCAAATTAAGGATATCTTAATTTACTTTATTTATTTAATTTAATTTTTTAATTTACTTTAATTTATTTATTTATTTTATTTACTTTATTATTGTTATTATATTTATTATTTTAATCTATTATTACCGTTATTATTGTTGTTGTTCATTCGTTCAGTCGTTTCCGACTCTTCGTGACCTCATGGACCAGCCCACGCCAGAGCTCCCTGTCGGCCGTCACCACCCCCAGCTCCTTCAAGGTCAGTCCAGTCACTTCAAGGATGCCATCCATCCATCTTGCCCTTGGTCGGCCCCTCTTCCTTTTTCCTTCCATTTCCCACAGCATAATTGTCTTTCAGGCTTTCCTGTCTCCTCATGATGTGGCCAAAGTACTTCAACTTTGTCTCTAGTATCTTTCCCTCCAGTGAGCAGTCGGGCTTTATTTCCTGGAGGATGGACTGGTTGGATCTTCTTGCAGTCCAAGGCACTCTCAGCAATTTCCTCCAACACCACAGCTCAAAAGCATCGATCTTCCTTTGCTCAGCCTTCCCTAAGGTCCAGCTCTCACATCCGTAGGTGACTACAGGGAATACCATGGCTTTGACTAGGCAATGGATCTTTGTTGCCAGTCTGATGTCTCTACTCTTTACTATTTTATCGAGACTGGACATTGCTCTCCTCCCAAGAAGTAAGCGTCTTCTGATTTCCTGGCCAGTCTGCATCTGCAGTAATCTTTGCACCTAGAAATACAAAGTCTGTCACGCCTCCACATTTTCTCCCTCTATTTCCCAGCTGTCAATCATTCTTGTTGCCATAATCTTGGTTTTTTTGATGTTTAGCTGCAACCCAGCTTTTGCGCTTTCTTCTCTCACCTTGATTAGAAGGCTCCTCAGCTCCTCCTCGCTTTCGGCCATCAGAGTGGTGTCATCTGCATATCTGAGGTTGTTAGTGTTTCTTCCAGCAATTTTCACCCCAGCTTTGCATTCCTCAATCCCCGCACATCCTCGCATGATGTGTTCTGCATACAAGTTAAAAAGGTTGGGTGAGAGGATGCAGCCTTGCCGTACGCCTTTCCCAATCTTGAACCAGTCTGTTGTTCCGTGGTCAGTTCTGACTGTTGCTCCTTGGTCCTTGTACAGATTCCTCAGGAGAGAGACAAGGTGGCTTGGGATGCCCATCCCACCAAGAACTTGCCACAATTTATTATGATCCACACAGTCAAAGGCTTTAGAATAGTCAATGAAGCAGAACTAGATGTTTTTCTGAAACTCCCTGCCTTTCTCCATTATCCAGCGGATATTGGCAATCTGGTCTCTCGTTCCTCTGCCTTTTCTAAACCCAGCTTGAACATCTGGCAACTCTCGCTCCATGTCTTGCTGGAGTCTTCCTTGCAGGATCTTGAGCATTACCTTACTGGCATGAGAAATAAGGGCCACTATTATTATTACATTTCCATTATTGTACTCTATTATTATTATTATTATTATTATTATTATTATTACATTTATTATTTTACTCTCTTTATTCTTATTGGAAGGATACGTAAGCACATTTACTTTGAAAAAGGTTAGAATAATGGTTTAATCAGAGTTGGACAGTCCTATCTTAAATTACAGTTTTATGTAAAAAAATTTTTGTCGTGTCAGGAGCAACTGCTCCTGTTGTGAGAGAATTGGCCGTCTGCAAGGACGTTGCCCAGGGGACATTGCCAGGATGATTTGATGTTTTTATCATCCTTGTGGGAGGCTTCTCTCATGTCCCCGCATGAGGAGCTGGAGCTAATAGAGGGAGCTCATTCTTCCTCTCCCCGGATTCGAACCTGTGACCTGTCGGTCTTCAGTCCTGCCAGCACAGGGGTTTAACCCACTGCGCCACCGGGGGCTCCTTTATGTAAATATTAAAAAAACATTTAACCTACTGAAGCCTCAATTAATGTAATTTTATTGGTATGTATTTTTATTTTGAAATTTACTAGTTTTACTGGTAAAGTTGAGGGTGGGAAATTTACTCCATTTCCCAACCTCGACTTATACTCAAGTCAATAAGTTTTCCCAGTTTTTTATGGTAAAATTATGCGCCTCGGCTTATATTCAGGTCAGCTTATACTTGAGGATATACGGTAATTAAAAGAAGAGATAAAATATTATTAAAAGACATACAATGAGATACACAGAGTTAAAAATACTGTATTAAAATATTGATTAGAATGTGTTCATAACTTTGTGTTTTCTCCCCTGCTCTTTGGCCACTCTGACTTCTGCTGTCTCTGCCTCTCAGTTCACTTTAATGGTGTGAAGCTGATGGTTGAGACATCGCAGGATGCCATCTTCTCCCTCCGTGGCGGCAATGTCACGCTGCCTTGCCACTACTACTACTCGCCCAAACTGGATGCCCCGCGCATGATCCGCATCAAGTGGTCCAAGCTGAAGGAGGACAGCACCAGGGATGCGGATGTGCTGGTTTCGTCTGGGTTGAGACACCGCAGCTTTGGTGACTTCCGAGGGCGCACACGCCTCCAGCGCTCAGCTCCCCATGAAGTGTCCCTTGTGATCAGTGACCTCCGCTTGCGCGATGCGGGGAAGTACCGCTGTGAGGTCATTGACGGGCTGGAAGATGAGAGTGGGACTGTGGATCTCGAGCTGCAAGGTGAGTGGCGTGGTGCTGCGACAAAGCCACAGCTTTCACAGGAGCAGGATTCTTGAAAAAACAGTTCAGCAACCTTCCCTAAACTGCTTGCAGATTATCATTTATGGGGATTTTCAATAATAGCATGTCTCACCTGCATCTGAAAGTGGGACAATCCATTTGGACACTTATGTGAGTGTCACAACATGTGCGGTTCCCACTGGGGCAGTGGTTCTCAACCTTCCTAATGCCGCGACCCCTTAGTAGAGTTCTTCATGTTGTGGTGACCCCCAACCATAAAATAATTTTCATTGCTCCTTCATATCTGCAATTCACTGGACCAAATTTGGCACAAATACCAAATACGCCCAAATTTGAATACTGGTGAGGTTGAGGGCAGATTGATTTTGTCATCTGAGAGTTGTAGTTCCTGGGATTTATAGTTCACCTACAATCAAAGAGCATTCTGAACTCCACTAACGATGGAATTGAACCACACTTGGCCCACAGAACTCTCAGGACCAACAGAAAATACTGGAAGGTTTTGGTGGGCATTGACCTTGAGTTTTGGAGTTGTAGTTCACTTACATCCACTCAAACAATGATGAATCTGAACCAAACTCAGCACAATCACTCAGTATGCCCACCTGCAAACTGGTGAAGTTTGGAAAAAATAGGACTTGTCATTTGGGAGTTGTTATTGCTGGGATTTATAGTTAACCTACAATCAAAGAGCCCCTTGAACCCAACCAATGATAGAGTTGGACCAAACTTCCCACACAGAGCCCCCATGACCAATAGAAAATACTGGAGGGATTTGGGAGGAATTGAAAGTGATTTAGGGGAGATGTAGTTCACCTACCTCCAGAGAGCACTGTGTTCCAAAGACCATCAGAAATATGTGTTTTCTGATGGTCTTTGGTGACCCCTCTGACACCCCCTCGCGACCCCCTCAGGGGTCCCGGCCCCCAGGTTGAGAAACACTGCACTGGGGATTCAAGAATTTTGCAGCAACAGGTCTGTGTTGTAATAAACATACCAAGCAGCAGGTGGAAGCAGAAGCCTACAAATTTGGGGACATTACAATATCTTAGTCTAATGTGTTCAAGCAAGAGTGGATGCTGTTTATACTAATAGAGATCTCAAGCAGGAGCCAGACTTCTGGAATTGCTGTTAGTTTCTGTTCTCTAAACTAATAGGAATCGACAGTCCAGAAAGGTTACACAGTTAAAGATTTCAGGCTGGGACTAATTCTGTCCTAGCCTATTACAGTGTACATTCCCTCTTTGTTAGATGGCTTAGGGACCAGAGCACTGGGAAAAAGGGGAAATAGCTGAAAAGCTTGCAAACGCACAACTATTAATGTGATAAATTTGTGTGTGTGTGTGTATATATATATAATGGCATACTGGTGGCACAGTGGGTTAAACTGCTGAGCTGCTGAACTTGCTGACCAAATGGTTGGAGGTTCAAATCCGGGGAGTGGAGTGAGCTCCTGCTGTCAGCCCCAGTTTATGTCAACCTAGCAGTTTGAAAACATGCAGATGTGATTAGATCATTAGGTGCCACTTCTGCGAGAAGGTAACAGCACTCCATGCATTCATGCTGGCCACATGACCTTGGAGGTGTGTACGGACAACACCGACTCTTGTCAGAGGTAAAGGCCTTCCCCCTTTTTCCAGTGTCTGGAGGTGATGCTCAACTCCGGCCACAGGGAGGTGCTCTTGTTCCATTTTTCCATGCTGAGGAACCTGTTGGACTGGATGATGGCCCAGGAGGTCTCTTCCAACTCTTTGATTCTATGATTCTATGAGTAAAAAAAGCAGTGTGTGGTCACAAAATTGTCAAAAGGGTGGACCAAGCATCGGAAATATGGTTCAGGGTTTACATTTACAGAGGTTGAAAAGTGAGTCATTGACACGGCAAAGTCTTCATAGAATCCTAGAATCCAAGAGTTGGAAGAGACCTCCTGGGCCATCATCCAGTCCACCCCCATTCTGCCAAGAAGCAGGAATATTGCATTCAAATCACCCCTGACAGATGGCCATCCAGCCCCTGTTTAAAAGCTTCCAAAGAAGGAGCCTCCACCACACTCCGGGGAAGAGAGTTCCACTGCTGAATGGCTCTCACAGTCAGGAAGTTTTTCCTCATGTTCAGATGGAATCTCCTCTCTTGTAGTTTGAAGCCATTCCTCCATTGCGTCCTTAGTCTCCAGGGCAGCAGAAAGGAAACTTGCTCCCTCCTCCTCCCTGTGGCTTCCTCTCACATATTTATACATGGCCCTCATCATATCTCCTCTCAGCCTTCTCTTCTTCAGGCTAAACATGCCCAGCTCCTTAAGCCGCTCCTCATAGGGCTTGTTCTCCAGACCTTTTATCATTTTAGTCGCCCTCCTCTGGACACAGTATTCCAGCTTGTCAATATCTCTCTTGAATTGTGGTGCCCAGAATTGGACACAATATTCCAGGTGTGGTCTAACCAAAACAGAATAGAGCATGGGGAGCATGACTTCCCTAGAGCTAGACACTTGTGTTTGAATTGGCTGCTAAAACCCATTTCTTTACAAAAGACCCGATCCTGGTGGAAATGAAAATCTTCCCGAAATCTTTTATTAATCTGCATCAAAAGAGCTGCCATAATATTTGGACTCACTTTGGGGTGGTTGCTATGGAGACTGTCATAAAGAGTGACTTTATGTCAAAACGTGTCACTAGAGACCTTTGCCTAAATTGCAGTGGCGGCTACGGATATGTATTGCCAAGAAGTTACTTTGATCTCCTGATAGAAGGAGAGCAGAAGCCTGGATGGGTAACTTAACTACTGCAGTTTGTATTCCTTTCTGAGCCACTAGATGGCACCAATACTCCTTTACAGTTTCCTATCTGGACTTTGGTTTGGAAACAAAGACTTCAGGAGTCAAATAACTTGTTTTGATGTGACTCTTTTCCTTGTAGAATGCACGAGAAACGACATGTGAAGTATAGTTTGGAAGTATGTTTACAGCCAATTTGGAAACCTGATTGAAATGAATTGTGACAGTAAAAATTGGATTGCACTTCCCCTTCGTCCGTGGCAAAGAAAGCTGTGGATTGATTGGAATTGAAACACATCAGGCTGGATCATATAATCCAGTTTCTGAATCCAGATTGTCTGCTTTGAACTGGATTATATGAGTTTACATTGCCATATAATCCAGTTTCTGAATCCACATTGTCTGCTTTAAACTGGATTATATGAGTTTAAATTGCCATATAATCCGGTTTCTGAATCCACATTGTCTGCATTGAACTGGAGTATGTGAGTTTATATTGCCATACAACCCAGTTTCTAAATCCAGATTGTCTGCTTTGAACTGGAGTATATGAGTTTACATTGCCACACAATCCAGTTTCTGAATCCAGATTGTTCACATTGAATTGGAGTATATGAGTTTACATTGCCTCACAATCCAGTTTCCGAATCCAGATTGCCTGCATTGAGTTGGAGTATATGAGTTTACATTGGCTCACAATCCAGTTTCTGAATCCAGATTGTCTGCTTTGAACTGAAGTATATGAATTTACACTGCCATATAATCCAGTGTCTGAATCCAGATTGTCTACTTTGAACTGGAGTATGTGAGTTTGCATTGCCATACAATCTAGTGTCTGAATCCAGATTGTCTGCTTTGAACTGGAGTATATGAATTTACACTGCCACATAATCCAGTTTCTGAATCCAGATTGTCTGCACTGAACTGGAGTTTGTGAGTTTACATTGTCATACAATCCAGTTTCTAAATCCAGATTGTCTGCATTGAATTGAGTATATATGTTTACACTACCACATAATCTAGGTTTTGAATCCAGATTGTCTGCATTGAATTGGATTATATGGGTTCACACTGCCATATAATCCACTTTGAAGCAGATGTTCTTGATTCAGAAACTGGATTATAAGGCAGTGAAGATTGAGCCTCAGTTTCATAAAGCCCAGCAGGTCCACACATTGCCCACTCCTGTTTTAAAACCCTCCTCCTCTTCCTCCTGTTTAGGGGTGGTCTTCCCTTACCAGCCTCACCATGGGCGCTACATGTTCAACTTCCATGAGGCGAAGAAGGCTTGCGAGGAGCAGGATGCGGTCATGGCTTCCTTTGAGCAGCTCTTCCAGTCCTGGATGGAGGGCCTCGACTGGTGCAACGCAGGTTGGCTGATGGATGGCACCGTCCAGTACCCCATCACCCTTCCACGGGAGCCTTGCGGTGGGAAGGACATGGCCCCGGGCATCCGGAACTACGGAGAACGCCACAAGAGCCTCCACCGCTTTGATGCCTTCTGTTTTTCATCCGCTCTGAAAGGTGAGCTGGGCTGGTGAGCAACTAATTTTAATCACCAGGTTACTTTAAGAAAGAGGATGGCAGATCGGGAGCTGAGCACATCTCCCCTTTGTTTTGAGACTCATACATCTAGGACAGTGGTTCTCAACCTTCCTAATGCCACGACCCCTTAATATGCTTCCTCATGTTATGGTGACCCCCAACCATAAAATTAGTTTCATTGTTACTTCATAACTATCATTTTGCTGCTGTTATGAATAGTAATGTCAATATCTGATATGCAGGTTGTATTTTCATTCATTGAACCAAATTTGGCACAAATGCCTGATAGGCCCAAATTTGAATTCTGGTGCGGTTTGGTGGGGGGGGGGGGGAGACTTTATCATTTGGGAGTTGTAGTTGATGGGATTTATAGTTCACCTACAATCAAAGAGCATTCTGAACTCCACTAATGATGAAATTGAACTAAACTTGGCATATAGAACTCCCATTACTAATAGAAAATACTGGAAGGATTTGATGGGCATTGAGTTTTGGAGTTGTAGTTCACCTACATCCAGAGAGCACTGTGGACTCAAACAATGATCAATCTGGACCAAACTTGGCATGAATGCTCAATATGGCCAAAGAATGGTGGAGTTTGGTGAAAATAGACCACATTTGGGAACTATAGTTGCTAGGATTTACAGTTCACCTGTAATCAAAGGGCATTCTGAACCCCACCAATGATAGAATTGAGCCAAACTTACCTAAAAGGAGCCCCATGGTCAGCAGATGGTCTTTGGTGACCCGTCTGACACCCCTCTTGCAAACTGCTCAGGGGTCCCAACGATAGCGAAATTGCGAGGCGGGCAAGGGGACTTTGGGAGAAGTCAGGCCTCGCGCCGAGATCCCTTCGCCCGCATCGTGTCCTCACCGAATGGCAAAATCGCGAGGTGGGTGAGGGGCCTTTGGGAGAAGTCAGGCCTCGCACCAAAGACTCCTCCCCCACCTTGCGACCTCGCCAAATGGCAAAATTGCGAGGTGGGCGAGGGGTCTTTGGGCGAAGTCAGGCCTCGCACCAAAGACCCCTCCCCCGCCTCGTGACCTCATCAAATGGCGAAATCGCGAGGCGGGTGAGGGGCCTTTGGGCGAAGTCAGGCGTTGGGCTGAAGACGCCTCCCCCGCCTCGCAACCTTGCCAAATGGCGAAAGTGCAAGGCGGGCGAGGAGTCTTCGGCGCGAGGCCTGACTTTGCCCAAAGGCCCCTCCCCCGACTCGCGACCTCACCAAATGGCAAAATTCTGAGGTGGGTGAGGGGCCTTTGGTGAAGTCAGGCCTCGCGCCAAAGACCCCTCCCCCGCCTCGCGACCTCGTCAAATGGCAAAATTGTGAGGCGGGCGAGGGGCCTTTGAGTGAAGTCAGGCCTCGCGCCAAAGGCCCCTCCCACGCCTCGCGATCTTACCAAATGGCGAAAGCGCGCAGCAGGAGAGGGGTCTTTGGCACGAGGCATGACTTTGCCCAAAGGCCCCTCCCCCGCCTCGCGACCTCGCCAAATGGCAAGATTCCGAGGTGGGTGAGGGGCCTTTGGGTGAAGTCAGGCTTCGCGCGAAAGACCCCTCCCCGCCTCGCGATCTTACCAAATGGCGAAAGCGCGAGGCGGGCGAGGGGGCTTCGGAGCAAGGCCTGACTTCGCCCAAAGGCCCCTCCCCCGCCTCGCGACCTCGCCAAATGGCAAAATCATGAGGCAGGCGAGGGGCCTTTGGGCGAAGTCAGGCCTCGCGCCGAAGACCCCTCCATGCCTCGCAAGCTCGCCAAATGGCGAAAGAGCGAGGCAGGAGAGGGGGCTATGTGCGAGGCCTTGGGGCGGGGCCAATGGAGGCAGCCTCGCGACCCCTCCGAAATGGCCAGGCGACCCCCCTGGGGGTCGCGACCCCCAGGTTGAGAACCGCTGTTCTAGGACAATGTTTCTCAACCTTCCTAATGCTGCGAACTCTTAATACAGTTGTGCTGGTACAACTGTACCAGGAGCTCCAACTTTATTTGCTTTGTATTAAATGTTTGCTTACAGTCCAAGGTTTCAGGGGTTCTGCAGAAAGGTGGCTTCCTTTGGTTGCAGTCGTAGGGCAAGTCACCTGTCCATCATCGTTAAGTTTTGGTTCCGCCCCTTGCTCAGGGCTATAGGGAAGGGAGCCACTTCTAGTTAGTCTCAGTAAGGAAAGCTAATGTAGAGGACATGTACAACTGGAGATGCACAGGGAGGTGAGGCAGTTGTTAGATGGCGGGAAGTCACATTAGAAGGAGGGCCACACCTCCCCTCTGACTCATTTCCTTTTGATGATGATGATGATAATATTATTATTAATAATAATCTGTATAGATTTATCTGTACATCTCCAAAACCTGGATGGGACCAATGGGAATTATAGTCCCTAAGAGCCAGATGCTACCTAGTTTGGGAAGGCTTTCCTAGTGGCTATATTTTGAATTAACTACTATTTCCAAGCTGGCTTCAAGACAATACATTACAGTAGTCAAACCAGGACATTACTAGATAATTACTAGGCTTGGTTGAACCAAAAAAAAAAAAAAGAGGTTCAAAACTCATTTCGGATGTGGTTTGTTTCTAAAGTCAATTCCGATTTTCACTAAAAAAAATAGATAAATCAAAACTTTTCGAAACTTCAGAGACTTCCAAATTCTTTCATTAATGGCTTGATAGTATTATTTCCTGATTCATTGGGTGGTCTTTACTTTGAAAGTAGTTTGTTTTACTCCAGAAGCAGGGAAAAGCAAGCGGAGGAAATTCCTTCCTTCTCTGGTTTAAAACTGGCTTCTCTGGCTTGAGCCAAAGCCAAGGACCAGAGCAGGGAAAAGCATGCAGAGGAATTTTTTTTCCTTTTCTGATTTAAAACTGGCTTCTCTGGCTTTAAAACTGGCTTCTCTGGCTTGAGCTGAGGCCAGGAAATTCCTTTCTTCTCTGGTTTAAAACTGGCTTCTCTGGCTTGAGCCGAGGCCAGGGACCAGAAGTGGGGAAAAGCAAGCGGAGCAAATTCCTCCCTTCTCTGGTTTAAAACTAGCTTATCTGGCTTGAGCCAAGACCAGGAAATTCCTTCCTTCTCTGGTTTAAAACTAGCTTATCTGGCTTGAGCCAAGACCAGGAAATTCCTCCCTTCTCTGTTTTAAAACTAGCTTATCTGGCTTGAGCCAAGACTAGGAAATTCCTTCCTTCTCTGGTTTAAAACTAGCTTATCTGGCTTGAGACAAGACCAGGAAATTCCTTCCTTCTCTGGTTTAAAACTAGCTTATCTGGCTTGAGCCAAGACCAGGAAATTCCTCCCTTCTCTGGTTTAAAACTAGCTTATCTGGCTTGAGACAAGACCAGGAAATTCCTTCCTTCTCTGGTTTAAAACTAGCTTATCTGGCTTGAGCCAAGACCAGGAAATTCCTCCCTTCTCTGGTTTAAAACTAGCTTATCTGGCTTGAGACAAGACCAGGAAATTCCTTCCTTCTCTGGTTTAAAACTAGCTTATCTGGCTTGAGACAAGACCAGGAAATTCCTTCCTTCTCTGGTTTAAAACTAGCTTATCTGGCTTGAGACAAGACCAGGAAATTCCTTCCTTCTCTGGTTTAAAACTAGCTTATCTGGCTTGAGCACAAGACCAGGAAATTCCTTCCTTCTCTGGTTTAAAACTAGCTTATCTGGCTTGAGACAAGACCAGGAAATTCCTTCCTTCTCTGGTTTAAAACTAGCTTATCTGGCTTGAGCCAAGACCAGGAAATTCCTTCCTTCTCTGGTTTAAAACTGGCTTCTCTGGCTTGAGCCAAGACCAGGAAATTCCTTTCTTCTCTGGTTTAAAACTGGCTTCTCTGGCTTGAACCAAGACCAGGAAATTCCTTCCTTCTCTGGTTTAAAACTAGCTTATCTGGCTTGAGCCAAGACCAGGAAATTCCTTCCTTCTCTGGTTTAAAACTAGCTTATCTGGCTTGAGCCAAGACCAGGAAATTCCTTCCTTCTCTGGTTCAAAACTAGCTTATCTGGCTTGAGCCAAGACCAGGAAATTCCTTCCTTCTCTGGTTTAAAACTAGCTTATCTGGCTTGAGCCGAGGCTCCAAGGCTGTTTTTCCAGGCCCCAGACCTTAGGGCAGTGGTTCTCAACCTTCCTAATGCCGCGACCCCTTAATACAGTTCCTCATGTTTTGGTGACCCCCAACCATAACCCTAACATTATGAATCGGCATGTAAATAATGATCTGCAGGATGTATTTTCATTCACTGGAGCAAATTTGGCATAAATACCCAGTATGCCCAAATTTGAATGCTGGTGGGGTTGGCAGGGGGATTGATTTTGCCATTTGGGAGTTGTAGTTGCTGGGATTCATAGTTAACCTGTAAACAAAGAGCATTCTGAACCTCACCAACAATGGAATTGAACCAAAGTTGGCACACAGAACTCCCATGACCAACAGAAAATACTGGAAGGGTTTGGTGGGCATTGACCTTGAGTTTGGAGTTGTAGTTCACCTATATCCAGAGAGCACTGTGGACTCAAACAATGATGGATCTGGACCAAACTTGGCACGGATACTCCATATGCCCAAATGTGAACACTCGTGGGGTTTTGGGAAAATAGACTTTGAGATTTGGGAGTTGTACTTGCTGGGATGTATAGTTCACCTACAATCAAGGAGTGTTCTGAACCCCAACAATGATAGAATTGGGTCAAACTTCCCACAATTAGCTTCAGGGTCTCAGGCTGTTAGGAATTGTGGGAGTTGAAGTTCAAAACACCTGGAGGGTCAAAGTTTGCCCATGCCTGTTTTAAGGAAGTAACTGGAAGTAATTCCTGTTTTGTTTTTGTTTTTTTCACGCCCCTTCTTCAGCCTAAAACACACTAAATGAGACCATAAACATGGTGTGTTTTGATCCCTTAATGGGTTCTGGGGTCCGGAAAAACAGCCTTGGAGGCTACATTTGGCCCACCATTTGGTCTAATTCCCCTGGAGAGTGTCTAGTAAGGGAAGGCTGCCAACTGGAGCCAGTTCATGAAGACATGTCTCCTAATAACATAAGATTCTGCATTATACTAAGTAGAGATGGAGCAGAAGTTTGCATTAATAGACTTTTAAAAAACCCCATTTATCCTGTTCCTCATCTGTAAGACTATTAATGAAAGTGAATGCCTGTCTTTTGATTTCCCATCACCAAACTCCTTTCTGTTCCTTCCCTTGAACTGCACAGAATTCAAAGTGCTTGGCTAAATGTGTTAATGTTTGATAAAAGCGCATAAACAAGCGCCGGGGGAGAAGGCGTTCCAATGTGTGCATTACGAAAAGTGGAGACAACTGTTGAAGTTAGGAAAATGCACAGCCAATACGCACAGGTTTCCAAGCAGGAATTTTGAAAAACTGACTCAACTTGGGGCCATTTCCAGTGGATAAGTATAGTGGTTGTTATTCCACTATAGATACTGGATGTGATTTGTTTTTGTTGCAATTTGCTTGAATGTTTTTCCCTTTTGGCATTTAATGTTTGACATATATGTTGGAAACCACCCGAGTCCCTTTGGGGAGAGAAATAAATAAATAAATAAATAAATAAATAAATAAATAAATAAATAAATTATTATTATTATTATTATTATTATTATTATTATTATTATTATTATTATTAGAAACACAACAAGATGAGTCCACAGTAGACAAGATCACTCTGCTGGCTGTTGTATTGCATATTATTATTATTATTATTATTATTATTATTATTATTATTATTGGGTTGCTGTAGGTTTTTTCGGACTATATGGCCATGTTCTAGAGCAGTGATTCTCAACCTTTCTAATGCGGTGACCCCTAAATAAAGTTCCTCGTGTTGTGGTGACCCCCAACCATATTTTCGTTGCTACTTCATAAATAATTTTGCCTGCCAGGAGTGCCATTTGGCTGGCTCAGGGGGTCGGCAGCCATTTTGGAGGGGGTGGGGCTGGGCAAGGCAGCTTCGCGACCCCCCGGAAATGGCCGAATGACCCCCCCAGGGGTCGCGACCCCCAGGTTGAGAACCGCTGTTCTAGAGGCATTCTCTGCTATAGAACATGGCCATATAGCCCGAAAAAAACCTACAACAACCCAGTGATTCCGGCCATGAAAGTCTTTGACTATTATTATTATTATTATTATTATTATTATTATTATTATTGGGGCCTCCTGGTGGCACAACAGGTTAAACCACTGAGCTGCTGAACTTCCTGACTGAAATATTGGTGGCTTGAATCTGGGGAGTGGGTTGAGCTCCCACTGTTAGCCCCAACTTCTGCCAACAGCAGTTCGAAAACATGCAAATGTGAGTAGACCAATAGGTACTGCTTCTGCGGGAAGCTAACGGTGTTCCATGCTGTCATGCTGGCCACATGACCTTGGTGGCGTCTACAGACAACACTAGCTCTTTGGCTTACGAATAGAGATGAGCACCACCCCAATGACTAGATTTAATGTCAACAGGAAACCTTTACCATTATTATTATTATTATTATTATTATTATTAACAAGATTAGTATATTACACAGAAAACAAGATCACTGTGCTGGCTTTTGTATTTGATCACACATTGGACACTTCCCAAGTGTCTAGGGCTGTGTGATGTATCGGTGCATAATGCGTGCAAATCCCAGTAGGGTGCCCTTTTGCAGCTGACATATGGTAATTTTGTCAGTGCCAATTGTTTTTAAGTGCAGGCCAAGGTCTTTAGGCACAGAACCCAGTGTGCCGATCACCATTGGGACCACTTTGACTAGCTTCTTCCAGAGTCTTTGCAGTTCTTTATTATTATTATTATTATTATTATTATTATTATTATTATTATTAGTTATTCCACTTTAGCTGTCATGGTTCATGGGATTGATATAGTGGCATTGAATTAGGATAGAACCACAGCAGTTAAACATGGAATAATAGTGTTATGATTGTCTAGTGTTCATGGTCCATTGATATGGACTTGACTGGAATGACATTGTGTCTGGGATTCTGAAAAGCAAAGCAAAAACAGTTGACGTTCTCCTAGTACTGATTTAGACACCCGGTTTTGTGAAACCAGCATTGTCCACTTGGGTAGGCGTCTTTCCCAACCTTGTGGATTAAACCATGTGCTCTGCCATTGAACTGAAGCTCAGCTCTGGTGTAAACATTTTCTCAAGGTGTCTTAAGGTAAAGGTAAAGGTAGTCCCCTGACATTAAGTCCAGTCATGTCTGACTCTGGGGTGTGGTGCTCATCTCCGTTTCTAAGCCGAAGAGCCAGCGTTGTCCGTAGACACCTCCAAGGTCATGTGGCCGGCATGACTGCATGGAGCGCCGTTACCTTCCCGCCGGAGCGGTACCTATTGATCTACTCACATTTGCATGTTTTCGAACTGCTAGGTTGGCAGAAGCTAGGGCTGACAGCGGAAGCTCACGCCGCTCCCCGGAATCGAACCAGCGACCTTTCGATCAACAAGCTCAGCAGCTCAGTGCTTTAACCCACTGTGCCATGGGGGCTCTTAGATATTCCTAAATTGCCTTAGATATTCCTAAATTGCCTTAGATATTCCTAAATTGTCTTAGATATTCCTAAATTGCTGGATAACCTGTCCTCTGTCTTTTCAACAGGGAGGGTGTATTACCTGGCTCTCCCTCAGAAGCTTACCTTAGAAGAGGCGAAGCAGGCCTGCCAGGATGACAAGGCTGAGATCGCCAAAGTGGGCCAGCTCTATTCAGCGTGGAAGTTCCTGGGCTTGGACCAATGTGACGCCGGATGGCTGGCCGATGGCAGCGTGCGCTACCCTATCGCCTCTCCGCGGCCCAACTGCGGCCCACCGGAACCTGGCATCCGAAGCTTTGGCTATCCCAAAATGGGGAAATTTGGTGTCTACTGTTACAAGATGAGCTAAAGGAAGGAAGGGAAGGAGCAGAATGGGACAGCGCCCTGCGCGAGTGGACAGTGTTGTCGTCACCTGCCGCCATCAAGAGTTTATTTAAAGAGCCAGCTTGTGGGGGCCGTGTCTTGTTAAATTGTCTGTGTTGGTTTGTTTTTATTATTTTTTTGTAATGCAAAGCAGACACGTTTTGTGACTTATTTTGGTGCAGAGTTTTTTCAGCTTTGTTGTCAACATAATCCATTTGTAAGGAAGACTTGTGTTTCATGGGGATGGGAGTCTGATTATTGTGCCTTCTGGAATGGGGTTGTGCTAATCTTTTGCAAAAGGGAGTATTCTGATAGTTGCTGTGCCTTGCTCAAGGAATCCCCACTCTGGTGTGATATTTTCCCAGTTCTTACCACTGTACATTTCATCCTTCTATAAATGCCGTCTTCGCTATAGAGCAGGAATGGGCAAACCCTGAGGGCTGAATGCAGCCCCTTGGGCTATCTTCTCAGGCCCTCCTCTCCTTCACCATCCTATCCTTCCTTCTCTCTTTCCTTCTTCCTTTCTTCCCTTCCTCTTTTCCCTCTCTCCTTCCTTCCATTCCACCCTTTCATCCTTCCCTCCTTCCCTCTCCCTCTTTTTCCCTCCCTCCCTCCCTCCCTCCCTCCCTCCCCTCCCTCCCTCCCTCCCTCCCTCCCTCCCTCTCTCCTTCCCTTCTTTCCTTTGTCTTTCCTTCCTTCCTCTTCCTTCCCTCCTCTTTTCTCCTTCCCTTTCCTTCCTTCTTCCTTCCTCTTCCCTTTCTTTCTTCCTTCTCTCTTCTTTCCCTCCCTCTTTCTTCCCTTCCTTCCCTTCCTCTTCCCTCCTTCCCTCCTTCCCTCCTTCCTCCTTCCTCCTTCCTCTTCCTTCCTTCCTTCCTCCTTCCTTCCTTCCTTCCTTCTTCCCTTCCTTCCTTCCATTCCTTCCTTTCCTCCCTTTTTGTCTTTCCTTCTCTCTTTCCTCCTCCTTCTTTTTCCTCTTTCCCCTTCTCTCCCTTCATTCTCTTTTGTCTTTCCTTCCTTCCGTCTTTCCTCTCTACCTCTTTCTTCCTCTTCGGATAACCTTCCACCCTTTCATCCTTCCTACTTTCCCTTTTGTCTTTTTTTCCTTTTCTCTTTCCTCCCTCCCTCCCTTCCTTTTTGTCTTTTCTTCCTTCTCTCTTTCGTCCCTCCCTCTTTCTCCCTCCTTCCGTTTCCTTTCCAACCTTTCATCTTTCCTTCTTTCCCTTTTGTCCCTCCTTCCTTCTCTCTTTCCTCCCTCCATCTGCTTCCAAACTTCCTTCCTTCTATCCTTCTCTTCCACTCATCCTTCCATCCCGATCTTCCACCCTTTCCTTTCTTTTCTTTTTTCTTCTCCTTTCCTCCTGGGCGATGTTTAGCTGGGAGAAAAGAAGGTAGAGAGGGAACATGAGAACCATGTTTCAAGATTTAAGAGGTGCCTCATTGAGGAGAGGAGGAAGAACAAACTGACTTTCTGCTGCTCTAGAGACCAGGGCACAAGGAAGCAATGGTTTCAAATGGCAGGGAAAGAGATTTGACTGAAAAGATTAGGATGAACTCTCTGAGAGTAAGAGCTATTGGAGAGTGGCATAGGCTACCTCGGAGTGTGGCAGAGTCTCCTTCTCTGCAGGCTTTTCTACAGAGGATGTCTATTGGGAATGCTTTGATTGTGTCTTCCTGCATGGCAAGGGGTTGGACTGGATGTTCCTTGGGGGTCTCTTCCAGCTCTAGGATTCTAGGAGTATATAGCAGGAGTAGGCAAGATGGGGTCTCATGGAGACAATTTTCCTCTCCTGTCCACCATCTCATCCTGACCAAGGCTTTATGAGATCCAAACATTTCTAGTCTTTCCTTCACTTTCTGCCTCTGAAAGAGAAGAAGGGGAGGAAAGGGCAGGGAGGGGACTTGGGAAGAACCCCCTCCCTACTGCTCTGCCCACCTTGCTCCAACCTGCTATGCAGCCCCCCAAGTTAGAAAATTGGGCAAACTTTTGAAGTTGTATATTTACAACTTTGAAAGTTGAACCTTTGTTGCCTTTACAGTTCTGCAGACTGTCAAGACCAGGATTTCTCAAGCTCTGCTCCCCCAGATGTTTTGGACTTTAGTTCCCATAATTCCTCACAGCTGGTAAAGTGGCTGGGATTTCTGGGAGCTGAAGTCCAAATCTCTTAAAGGAGCAGAGTTTGAAAAATACTGGTCAAGATAAACCTTCTTAAAAGCTGTGCCTTCTTATAACAGTGATTCGCATACCTCAGTCTGTGAATGGGTTGGTGACATCAAGAACTCACTTCCCCGTCCTAGAATCCAAAGTAGTTTTATGTTGAAACAATGGCTAGCATCCTATGGGGAATGGATAATATTGTTTACCAATGTGCATTTGAATGGTTTAACACTACAGCACTGCGTGACAGTCATGTTCCCGGGAAAGGAGAATTGTTCTAGTTATGCCATGGAGACTGTTGTTGTGAAGGAGCCACAAGACGTAGCAGTATGGCACTTAGTAGAACAGCGTGCCATTGCGTAATTATAGTGCCAAGACAGGGGCAATGGTTCCCAGCACAGCCATGGGATACTGGTAATTCAGAATGGGAGTACTGGAATATATCATGGACAGCCTGTATCTAGATAGAGTAGGCATGGGCAAACTTGGGGTCCTTCAGGTGTTTTGGACTTCAACTCCCACAATTCCTAACAGCCTCAGGCCCCTTCCTTTCCCCCCTCAGCCGCTTAAGCCCATGCCTGAGCTAGAGGAACATCTTAAGTTCATAGAAGAACATCTTAAGCCCATGCCTGAGCTAGAGGAACATCTTACGTTCATAGAAGAACATCTTAAGCCCATGCCTGAGCTAGAGGAACATCTTACATTCATAGAAGACAATCTTAAGCCCATGCCTGAGCTAGAGGAACATCTTACGTTCATAGAAGACCATCTTGAACCCATGCCTGAGCTAGAGGAACATCTTAAGTTGCCCATTGGCACCGTTTTCTCGCTTATTCATTTTCCATCTCAGTTGCTTTATCATTGAAATGTTATGCATTATAGCTCATGGAGCAGGGTCTCAGTCTTTGTTTTCAAAGATCAGGTAACTTTAAGGGTTCAGACAAGACTGGGGCATACCTACTTATCAATGTGGGATTCCGTTGTCCGTTAGGGAGAGATACACCATGATCCATGCCATGTTTGTACACTATCATTCAGAATTCTCTTCCTCTTGGTTTCCATGTTAAATCTGTATTATTATTATTATTGAAAAAAAAGATAATTAAAAATCACTTAAAATATCCAAAAATGGGATACTAAGGTGCTTGTTTACGAAGCTATTGTCCTCCCAACCCTGCTATATGCCTGTGAAATGTGGACTATCTATAGATGTTCACATGCAACTCCTGGAAAGATTCCATCAGCGTTGCTTCCGAAAAATCCTGCAAATCTCTTGGGAAGACAGGCGGGCAAATGTCAGCCTGCTGGAAGAAGTGAAGACCACCAGCATTGAAGCGATGGTCCTCCGTCATCAACTCCACTGGACTGGTAACGTTGTCTGAATGTCCGATCACAAGTCTCCCAAAGCAGTTGCTCTACTCCGAACTCAAGAATGGAAAAATTGAATGTTGGAGCGCAGGAAAAGAGATTTCAAGATGGGCTCAAAACCACCTTAAAAACTTTGGCATAGACACCGAGAATTGGGAAGCCCTGGCCCTTGAGCGCTCTAGCTGGAGGTCAGCTGTGACCAGCAGTGCTGTAGAATTTGAAGAGGCACAAATGGAGGGCACAAGCAAGTGATGATTCCTTCTTGTTCCTGGCAAGTTCCCACTCCACATGGCTTCTCTTCACATGTCTTGGATGTAACTACAAATATAAAGTGTATATCCACTTAATCATTCAGCTATGTCGATTGGATGGGTTGCTAAATGAGGGCTACCTCCAAGTTTGATGGACTCTGATTAAAAGACCTTCAGGAAGTCACAACAGTTAAGAGGCAGACCTCTTTTCTCTTTGCTCTTTTCCATGAATCCTAATTCACTCTCTTCCTTCACCCTTGGAATGCATTACAACTTCTCCCTCGATGGACTGTCGATGGGCAGGAAAAGAGATTTAATGATGGACCAGGGGCGGCTCAACCATTACGCAAAGTAAGCATTTGCAGTATACTTGATTTTACCCAGGGGCGCTCTTGAGGCGCTCTTGGGGGAAAATAGACATTGACATATGCGAGTTGTAGTTACTGGGATGTATAGTTCACCTAAAATCAAAGAGCATTCTGAACTCTACCAATGATGGAATTGAACCAAACGTGGCACGCAGGACTCCCATGATGAACAGAAAATATATATCACTGATTGGTTGGGGGGGGGGGCAAAATACTGTTTACTTACCATTGAAAATTATCTAGGGCCGCCTCTGCGATGGACTCAAAGCCAACCTTTAAAACTCTGGCATAGACACTGAGAACTGGGAAGCCCTGGCCCTTAAGAGCTCCAGCTGGAGGTCAGCTGTGACCAGCAGTGCTGTAGAATTTGAAGAGGCACAAATGGAGGGCGAACGAGAGAAATGTGCCAAGAGGAAGGAGCATCAAGCCAACACCATCCAGGACCGCTTTCCACCTGGAGACCGATGCCCTCACTGCGAGAGAACATGCAGGTCCAGAATATGGCTCCACAGTCACCTATGGACCCACCACCAGTACATTGATCTTGGAGGACTATCCTACTCAGACAATGAGGGATCACCTAAGTAAGTAAGTTAAGTAAGCATTCCATGTGCCTCTTTATATTTAAGTTGTTTCTTCCCTATGCCTAATAAGCAAAGGTCTTGTGTGGATACTTTCCTTGTGCGGCGCAACTGCACCACTATTTTGGGAAGCCTTGAAGGAAACCGTCTCACAAATCACACTTTCCTATCCCCTTGAGTAAGAGAAGCCATTTCAACACCAGCCTGAAACATTTCATTTGGTTTTGGAAGCTGACAGAACAGGAAGCCCAAAGGTTGTTGTCCTGGAAAGATTGGACAAACAGAGATGGCATTGAAAGGTGTGTTGGAGAGCGGCGAACCCAAGTTAATGCCGGGCATCGAGGCGCAGAACAGAAAGGAAGTATTCAAACACAAGAGGCATCAAAGTGCTGAGGGCTGGTCTGGGGGTGGAGAATGGGACGGAAATAGGGGGTGGGATGGAGGCGGAGGGTGGGAGAGAGGCTGCTAGTCTGTTGGAAGCAGCCTTGAATGAGCAACATTCATGGAGACGCAACCAAAGGCCTGTGCTCAGGGCTTATATTTGCAGAAC